AAACCATCCCCGACACCGGGTCCCTGCGCCCTGTGCCGCCCCCCGAGCCGCTACCGGGGCAGAGCTGACTAACTCACGGGCAATTCATTATTCCTGCGTCGGGGGCAGTTGTGCTTTAGAGCACAGTGCAGCTCCCGCAGCAATAATTGCTACTGTCCTTGATAAAGTAGTAGTAGAACTGTTTTTGCCTTGTTGATGTGTGTCTGGTACACGGTAGGTTAGTATCTGTTAAACACGGGTTTTGTCTGTGCTCCTGTGGCCATATCTCTCTTAGCTTTGTTATAACTCGTTCAGCACTGAGAGGCTGGAGATAAAGGCAGGCTTGTTTCATATCTGCCCTTATCAGAGCTTGAGCAAAGCAGGTTGGTGTGAGCTCAGGTGTGACAGTGTTGTCCTACAATCACACATGCTGTGCATCTTGAAAGTGTCACTTAGGATCCTGTGTCTGACAGCAGCAGTACTGGATGCTCAGAGGTTAATAACAGCTGAAGAGGCACATAGAGAAGGATTACCAACAGAGAGACCTACCCTTTGCCTGAAGGAGGATTCCACATACCCACTGGGCACCAGGCCTGGAGTTTGATGCCTTCCAGAGAACATGTTAGCACTTGACACTTGATTGTTTGTTTTTAAGCAAAGCAGCAGCTCTTCACTCCGGCACTTGCTTGGTTTCTTTGCTGTCTTCTTGCCAGCTGTGAAGAGAATTTTACCTATTTTGAACAGGATTAATTCAGCTGCCAACATTGTGTGTCTTGAGGCAGGACAGCAACAAGCCAAGATTCTGCAGTTGCTGATGCTGGTAGATGTTTTCCTCAGGCTTGCAGGGGAGCAGTAACAAGGCTCTTGTGAGAAGGCAGTGCAGCCCCAGTTACTGCCTCTGTTCCACTCTATGCTTCTGCAGATTTGGCTGACTCAGACATTCATTCCTGGTTGCCAGGCAAGCCACCAGTGAAGGCAGAGTGAGGAATGAAGCACTGGGACTGTTTCCTGCTGGACATCTCGTGGAGCCCTGTTGCTCAGCCTTCCTCCTTCCATCCAATGAAGCAGGGAATTAAACCAGGTCCTGTTAAAATGACAGGGAAGGTGTACAATATATTCTGTGAAGGAAAGGAAAATAGCTTGAGAGCTGCTAATACAGAGCATTAGGCAGCTAACCCAGGCAAGTTATTCTTAACTTGATATTAAGAATTATCTGTTTGGGTGACAAAAGGAATCCTCTTTTGGTTGATGTTTAAAAAGGTCCTTGGGGTTGCTTTCCTAAGCATATGCGAAAGAGCATAGAGCAACATCTTTTCTTTCTGCTCGTCCCTTTTGCCTTGCAAAAGCAGACTGTGCATCTTGTGTCACTCAACAGTCTCCTGTCCTTTTGGCAGCTTTGCTTCTAGAGAGCTGGATGTATTTTGTATTTTAAAACAAGGTGATAGCTCCAGCCTAGGTAATACCCAACCAACCTCCCTGTGTTCTGAGAAACAGTAATTTTTTGGCAGGCAGTGTAATTCAAGCTACTGGCAGCCCACCAGGCAACATTTTGATGTATATTTAAGGAACCTTGGTTTAATCAGGGACAATAAATTTGAGCTGGCCTTGGAGATGTAGGGCATAAGTTTGCTGATTTCCTCTTGCAGCTACATTCAGCTGGATGATAAAATTATTCAGGTTGTTCAAGGTAAGTAGAGTCTGTGTAAGAACTTTAGAGGAACTTCATAGAAGCTGTACAAGAAAAATTGCCAAAGGAGTTTTATTTCATTTGTATACTAGTGTATAAATCAATTTAGAGGAATACTTGGGCTGTGTTTTTTATAGAACAGTTAAAGTGATGATCAGAAACACAAAAACATAGGCTAGCTTGAGGGATTTAAACTCCTAAATTGAAACTGGAATTTCATCCTTGCTCAAATAAAATATCTTTGTTTGATTTCCTAGGGTGAGGAGCCCTTAGATCCCAAATACATTTGTGGGCTTCTGTAGAAATTGCCCCTCTTGACAGCTGTGTTACAGTGTAACATGGGATTTTTCTCTATTTTTCACTGAAGTGTCTGGAACAATGGTACAGGATTAAATGATTTTCTGCTCAGTGCAGTTATACCAGTTCTGTCTTTCCCCATTGTCTCATATTAACAGTTACTGTAAAAGAAACCCATAGTGATGTAGTTTGATTTTTAGATTTTGTATGTACCCTTTTAACCCTTGAAGTAATTGTGCATATATTGGCCCTTTCACATTCTTATTCGGTATTATCTTCCTTTCTAGATGGCCATAGTGCTGTGCCTGGATGTAGGCTTTACAATGAGCAGTTCTTCCCCTGGTGAAGAGTCTTCTCTTGAGCAAGCCAAGAAGATTATGACAAAGTTTGTACAGCGACAGGTACATGTGACTTCGTATGTTAAAAAAGCTGTTAAAAAGAGAGAGGAACTAATAACATCCATGAAATGTTTTCTTCATTTACTAATAATTGAAATAAATGAGAAATGAGTGAGAATTTAGTTTTATACAGGAGTAACAATGCTCTTTGTTTCAGCTGTGTTTTTGTCCATGAGCTGTGGCCATTGGATTGGTCAGGGCAGTAGAAACTTTTAGGGAAAACAAGTATCCTTCTCTTTCTCTAAAGTGTTTCAGCATTCAGACTTACCATGCTGGAGGCCCATTTTGAGGACTCAGTCAGCCAGTTTTACTTGTTTTATCCCAGATATCCTCACACGAATCTGTTAGTTTAATTATGTCTAGCTTGGTAAACTCCCTGTGAGATTACGTTTTGATAGAACAGCACTGAAAAAATAAGGAAAAGTAAATCCATTGTGCTTGACATTCTTTCAAAATCAGTTCATCTTGCTGGAATCTGCCTAACATAGTTGTGATTGAGTCTACCTGCGATTTTTATACCTGTTTTGTATTTTCTGTTTTTCCAGGTCTTTGCTGAGAGTAAAGATGAGATCGCTGTAGTTTTGTTTGGCACTAATGGTACTAGGAATGGCCTTGCCAGTGGGGATCAGTACCAGAACATTACTGTACATAGGTCACTAATGCTGCCAGATTTTGATCTGCTGGAAGACATTCAAGATGTGACTAAAACAGGCTCTGAGCAAGCAGACTGTATCCTTTTGCTGTGGAGCACTTCATAAACTGATTCACTTACACAGGAGACAGGAAATCAGTGTTGTGAAAATGGGCTCAGATTTGCCTCCCAAGTTTTAACTACTATCAGAGTTTAGCTAATTTGTGGTTGTAAATTTGTCCAAAAGCAGATTAGCTGCTTTTTGACATTCTTCTAGGCTAGCAGATGGAGCCTTGGCCTTAGGGAACCATTGCTTTTATGAAATGTTCTGTTAATTAAAGAGAGCAAAGTTAATAATATAATTTTAGACCTGAAATAAGTCCTGTGTTTTTAAAAATAGCATTGCAGAACTTGGTTTATGCTTTTTTAATCAAATAAAAATATTATTTATGAAATTTGTCAGCAGAGGTACTAGAAACCAGACTGTCGTGGTTTAAGCCCATCTGGCAACTCAGCCCCACACAGCCACTTGCTCACTCCCCCACCAGTGGGATGGGGAGAGGATTGGAAGGGTAAAAGTGAGAAAACTTGTGGATTGGGTTAAAGACAGGTTAACAGGGAAAATAAAAGCTGCACATGCAAGCAAAGCAAAGAATTTACACACTGCTTCCCATCAGCAGGCAGGTGTTCAGCCAGCTCCAGGAGAACTGGGCTCTGTGCACCTAACAGTTACCTGGGAAGACAAACTATACCTCCAAACGTCTTTCCTCCTCCTGCTTACTCCCAGCTTTTATTGCTGAGCACAACCTCAGGTAGTATGGGAGATATCCCTTAAGTCAGCTGGGACCAGCTGTCCCAGCTGCATCCCCCTCCCAACTTCTTGTGCATCCCCAACCTTCTCACTGGCAGAGTAGTACAAGAAAAGGCCTTGACTGTCAAGTGCTGCTCAGCCATAGCAACGTCTTTCCTCCTCCTGCTTACTCCCAGCTTTTATTGCTGAGCACAACCTCAGGTAGTATGGGAGATATCCCTTAAGTCAGCTGGGACCAGCTGTCCCAGCTGCATCCCCCTCCCAACTTCTTGTGCATCCCCAACCTTCTCACTGGCAGAGTAGTACAAGAAAAGGCCTTGACTGTCAAGTGCTGCTCAGCCATAGCATCTCT